ACCGCCAATCCAAACTGTATGCTAATTGTCAATCATCTTTGACGATAGTGGTCCTGACAGAAATATATTTAATGGAATTAATTCAATATAAGAGAGCTTTTTTGACCCATTTAAGTCAGACTTAAGTGGATCTTTATATGCAATTGTGACCTGTGCTGGCAAAATGAGTCACAATGAGCAAATTTTCAAAAATGAGTTATTTTTATTTTCACATTCCTTCAGAATGATGATTTGTTGGAATCGGACGAAAAATGACTGAGCTACACCCGTTTGAAGAAATTAGGATATTAAGTAAAGAACATGTTCCATAAAGATATTTTGTAAATTTCCTACTGTAAATATATTAAAACTTAATTTTTGATTAGTAATATGCATTGCTAAGAACTTCATTTGGACAACTTTAAAGGCGATTTTCTCAATATTTGGATTTTTTTGCACCCTCAGATTCCAGATTTTCAAATAGTTGTATCTCGGCCAAATAATGTCCTATCCTAACAAACCATACATCAATGGAAAGCTTATTTATTCAGGTTTCAGATGATGTATAAATCTCAATTTCGAAAAATTGACCCTTATGACTGGTTTTGTGGTCCAGGGTCACAAATACTCAAAAGTAATGGTGACACTAGCCTTTCACTGCTTAGCACTAGTATTTATATCATAACTAAAGCAGCTAACTCATCAAACCTCTAAAGATACCCAACCTCAGACATACAGTGGATGCATTACTAAAAAAAAACAAAAAAACGTCCAGATATAATAAAGTTTTCATGTTCGACTTCATAAGGAACAAGGTCAAGAGGAAGTAAAAGACTACAGGCCTGCAAGGCTGAAATTGAAGATGAGATCAGAGAAAAGGCAAGTCAATACATGTTCCTTCTTCAGATTCAGCCAAGCAGGATTTCAGCAAGTTTCCATGTAAGGTGCCAGGACTTACAGAAAGCCACAAAAATTCCCACAGGTTCCAACACTTAAGCCTTTGATGCCACGCCATCAAGAGGAATTATGGCAGATACATAAAAGTTGAGCTGAAGCCTTAGTTTAATTGTGGCATAGTAGGGGCTAAATGAAATGGTCCTGGTGGACGGCGTTCAGTAAAACCTGTCTTTTTGATTTAAAAGCTTGTAATGAATATATCGTGTAAGACCTGGAGTGGGATCAGATGGCCATGGATCATTTTGTACTCAACCGATGTACTTCAAAGACACAATGATGAAACTGGTGCTTTAAGGTTGAGTTTACATGCTTTCTACGAATGTCCCTAACGTTTTGGGGTTAAAAACTGAAGTATAATCTTGATGATACATTTTGCTTCTTCCATTACACTAAGGAACAACAAACACTCAAAAGAAACAATGTTGTGATCTTACCAATGCATATCTCATCGTCTGTTTCTGCATCGCCAATGCACTGGAATTTAAACTCGTTCAGTGACTCTGCAAACTTTCTCTTCGCAGTGGACAAATCTGTAAAAGATGTGACGAGATGTGTTACATTTTTACTGACGAGAATAGCACAAGGTGGCAAAACCACAAATGATCAGTCAGAAAGCGAGAGAACATGTACTGCGCTTTGGAAACTTTGTGGTGTCTGGGTCTTTCAAGACATAAGACTGACAAAGTGAGCGAGAGTTCAGTGAGTGAATGAGAAAAAGAGACTGCAAGAGGGAAAATGTCCAAAAAGGAAAGCTAAGGAGAGACAGAATGAGCCCAGAAGTCCCTAAAAATAAATACTCTTTGTCATGGAACGAGAATTTGGTTGGTCAGATCAGATTATAAATTAAAGGCAGACCCCTTGGTTTTAGACTGTCATAACTTTGGAAAAAATCTTCTTCAGAATAATAAACAAATAAAAAAACGTAAAGCCGAGCTGGATATCAACCTCAGTAGCACTTTTTAGTTTGGTTAATAGTATATACTATACTTTAATAAGAATTCATTATATTTGCAAATTGCAAACTAGTTCTATAGACTATAGAAATCAACAGATGTACCAAACAATTGATTAATCATTAAGATCAGTTGAATTAAATGATGCATAAAGGTATAAACTGAATGGGAAGATATGCAATTCAATAGTTTATAAGTAATAACAATATGAAAGGCAGTTACTGTGATTTAAAAAAAAAAGTAACATTTTAGTTTAGGGAGCAATTCTTACTATTAACTAGTTGTTTATTAGCATGCATATTACATGTTGGCTGTTTGTTAGTACTTACAAAGCACGTATTAATGGCTTATTCTGCATGTCCAGATTTTAGATCTCTTTAGTCCTACCCCATATCTAAACTTAACAACTACCTTACTAACTATAAGCAGCCAATCAGGAGTTCATTAAGGCAAGTCATAGTTCATAATAAGTTAATAGTGATAATTGGTCACCAAACTAAAGTGTGACAAAAAAAATGTATATAGATGTAACACACATTATGTGTAGTGGAAAGGATACTTTATAATTTTGTGTAACGTACTAACAGTTAAAGCTAAGCTAAAATGCTTGAAAAAAAGTTAATTTTTGATTTGTACTAAAAGTTTTGAAAATGTACTACTTACTTTAGAACATAATACCAAAGCAAAAATGCTACTACCAATTCTACTACTACTACTACTAATAATAATAATAAAATATTAAACTCCTAAAAACTCTGTTAAGGGATTTGCCATAAAAGCTCTTTTCAAAAGGATCACTCACAGTGATATGAGCCAAACATTCTGTATGTGATTGTGAAAGTGTCAAAATCAAAAGCACATTTTGATCAAAACTTAATTCCCTGTGTGCAAACTCTCTCCAATACAAATGACACAATTGATACAACTGATAATCAACTCAAAGGCAAATTTGCCAGCATGCAAATACATTATTCTATTCTTTTTTCAGGACATGTGCAACATGTTGACCCAGTTCTTCATGGAAAGAAATACAATTCTATTTGTCAATGGCTTGCTTTGGCTTACCAAGCTAGCAGGTTACAAGACGTTTTACAGTGTGTAGCCGGGGAGGTGGCTAGTAGTAGAGGGCGTGGCCATGCAGGTGGGTTGAGTTTTTAAGTGGGCATCGGAAGGGAGGCCTAGAGACTGGGTCCGGACTTTTTTTGTGGAAGCGCGCTGTCTGGTAGCACTTCCCTGTTTGTTTGTGCACGGACATGGTCTAGGTGAGCAGGCACAAACATTGTGCTGTCCTCGGTATGTGTAGTACCTCTGTGCTTGATTGTGCACATGGTCCGGGTGAGCAGGTAGGCTAAACGAACATTGGTTGTTTTGTTAACAAAGCCCTGTTTCATTGAAGTAGGATATTATGTTTTTAATGTAGATGTAAACATCGTGGGTGATGTAAGTTATGATTACTAGTTTTTTGTGGTCACCCTTGCCAGAAGAGAGGAGTCACAAGTGCATGAACAAAACTCTAAAATAGTTAAATCTGCAACAATTTCTACTAACAAAATTCACACCAATTACCAGTTAATTTATGACAAAAAAAAAAAATACAACAGACATTGGTATGTTCAATAGCATATTAGTTTTTGCTTTGGTATCAATAATCATTTAATTTTACTAGTAGTGTGATTGACTGCTAATATGTGGGTGAAGTGGCAACTCTACTTCGCAACAAGCTTCCATTTGTTATCTACAGACAGTTATTTTAGCACTCTGAAATCCATGAATGGATTGTTAATTAGTGACCATCCCTAAAAATAAGCAGCTTCTATTGACATCCACATTCATCAACATGCCATCTAAGAACACAGAATTCCCCAAAATGTTTCTCCTCCAGTGTCCTCTGCTTCCTGCCTTCTGCCTGGCGACACAATGGTGCCATCCAAGCGCCTGGAAGGAATGTGCACATACAGTTGTATGGTGCTAACATGCCATTATGTGACATTTGAGCTTTAGTTTGCATTTCCTCTACATTTTAGAGGCCTTTTAAAATCTAAAATAACCATTTCATCATAAAGGGTAAATTTAATTTCTAATATTATCAGAGAATTCTTAAAGCCAAAGTATACTTCACATATTTTAGTAATCACCATTAATTTATTTATCACATATCATTATCTCAAAATTCATCCTGTGAAAACTATTTTGAAATTGGAAATTGCGTTACCATGGAAATGGTACTTTAAAATCTTTAAGTGGGCGGTGTCAAGAGTTATATTACAAAATGTATAACGGTATTTTACAATCAAAACTTTTTATAATCTTGACAAAATACATATCGTTGGAAAGGTCTTAGTCTCAAGATTCCATATTTGGTGGTTATTTTGTGACTTTGGTGAAGTAATATTGACAGAGAAATTTAGATATTTGTGACAGAAAAATGCATTCAATAAAATAAAATCCTAAATAAAATCTCACAGGAACCTCAATTTGTTTATATCAACTTCAAATTTGGAACATAACTTATTTAGACATAAAGCTTTCATTTTATATCAATTTGTGTGTAAAACCTGTTATGAAAAATAGTTATTTTATATAAAATAAAAAATTAGTACAGTGCATTTTCTTTACAGTAAATTCAAACTTCAATAACTTTTTGATCATTTCATATTTTGAAATGATCCCACTTCTGTCATAATTTGCTGATTGTCTTCTTTAAAAAGATTCTTCAAAAGCGTTTGAAAGCATTCATGAATTATAACAATTTAAGTTTGGATAGTGCACTTTCACGTCTATGTACAAAAATGGGGGGTGGCAGTTAAAGGGTTAAAAGAGTACAAATGATGTTTTATCATTCATATCTTATGGAGAAAAACAGAGCAGATGCTGGACAAAGATGAAGCTTTCTAGAGCGCATGTGTCGACCACCTGTGTTTGTGCACGCTATCGAATGGAGTATACTTTGAAAGGCGAATGAAAAACGAAGTATACTTTGAGCTTTATAGTCCTCTCTATGATATAATGTTTGCTTTTTTTTTGGACCACATAATTTTAATTTAACAAACAAATGTTTTTCAAATACTTAAAGTATTTTAACAACACTGCTACTTTTTTTCTTAAGAAACAAAGATTTCCTTTTCCAGAATAATATCCAGCTTTTTTGTCTTAAAAAGTTCAATTAAATTAAATTGAAAATTAAATAAAAAAATTAAACATTCACACAGAAGAGTCGTATTCATGTATGTATAAATAGCATAAATGTCATGTCATTGACCCAAACTCTAACCGAACCTAGTTCATGATAGTAGGAGTGTTACATACACACAGGGAACAATAGCATGCAATTCTGTGGTTACTCCCCATTGCAGTGTAAACATGTCCATAGTGACAATCAGATGTTGAAGTGAGAAAATGGAAGCACTTGAAGTGTGTAATCTGGTCTTGTTTCGATAGTTTCCTGTTCTGGGATGAGATGGAATGCTGCTGGTGTGGAACGGATACCAGCTGCTGTTTGCTCCATTATGTGAGGGAGGATCGGACATCCCAAATCCTTCATCATCATTCTCACCAACCTTTTCGGATGTTCCTGAACATGTACATTTGTCGTGAAAGTGTTTCTAAATCAACAGAATGAGATAAAAGTGGCTTCATTGTTAATGAATGAAATATACAAAGACCTACAGCTATCTTTCTAGATATTATTGAGGAGTACTTAGTGCTGGGCGGTATACCGGTTCATACCGAATACCGGTGTTTATTTTTGTTATGATATGAATTTTTAAAATACCGCAATACCGGTGTATGTCGCTTAAACAACGTTCGGAACGCGACACTGTTTGAAAGGGGTCCCTTTTCACTGTTGCACTGTGGTGAGGGCACAGCTGTATGTGTTACTAAGCGTGAAAGTTCGCAAACTGAAGCTGTAGAACTAATAGAACGTGATGACACAGAAGAACTCATCCACAATATCCACATTGACCGCCACAAATATCCAGCGCCCCTTGCCATCAGCTCCCGCATCTCACACACACGAGCGTGACTCTAGCACTAGATTTAGCAACTTTCAGACCCTTTCAGCGGCTTTTTTCCATAGAATATTCATACTGACAAACCTAGCGACTTTTTTGGATAAACCTTAGCTATGGTTCAGTTGGAAGATTTCGCCAGTGCTGTCCCGCGAACGCGAGGTCTGACTTTCCCGGAGAAGTATCACCTCTCTCGGCATCTGTTCTGTGCAGTGAGCGGCAGAGAAGCAGC